CGTCGTCACGTGATTGAGTCAAGATGGCGTCGCCCAGCTGCTTGTGGCTCTTGATCCTCGCTCTGTTGCCGGGGTTCTGCGCTGCCATAGCGCTGGGGCATCTCGACCCGCCCGCGCCACTGCCGCTGGTGATCTGGCATGGGATGGGTGAGTGAGGGAGGGAGGGAGAGGAGGGTCAAAAGGATTTGGCTCCTCTTTCTCCTAGCCTGGCTTCGTGTCTGCAGAGTGAGAGTGTGAAGGGCGAGGATCGTGGTCCCACAGCACCCGCCTGTCCCGCGACGTTTTAGGATTTGGGGATTACACTGCATTGGAAAGAGAGATGCGGAATGAGCTGCCTTTGGTGAGCGCTCGCAGAGGACTGTGCACTGCGGTAGGGTTTTATGTGCTGTGCCTGTTTAATCTCCATGGCGGTGGCGTCAGGAAGCAGCATCTGACACTTGCTCGGGAGAGCTGGGCTGTGGCTGCATGACCGCCACATCCATCCTTTTATTCAGTCACATGTTGAGCAGAGATTTGTTAGGCACCTATAATTCATTTATACACTTAACGCATAGTTATTGAGCACCTGCTGGATGTTGAGGATCCAGCAGTGAACTAAACAGACTAAATTCAGTGCTCTTTTGGAACTGATTTTCCAGTGGGAGAGATAGACTATAAAGAAATAAAAAAGTAAAACACATAAGTGCAATGGAGAAAAATAAAGCAGGAAGGGGGATAGAGCCTGGAGGTGGAGGCTTGCAACTTTATAGAACAAGGTCAGGAAAGGATTCACTGATGAAGTGACTTTTGAGCAAAGACCTGAAGTGGATAAGGGAAGATGCCATGTGGATATCTGGTAGGAGTAGCAAATGGAAAGGCCCTGAGGCAGAAATATGTCTGGTGAGCATGTTCAAGGAATAACATCCAGGTCAGTGTAGCTGGAACTGGGTGAGGAAGGAGAAGAAAATAGGGATTTAGTTCAGGGCTGGGAGTGGGGGTTGGGCGTGACACGGTAGCCTGCGGATGTTACTGGGCCTGCTAAGTCTACTGTAGGGACTTTGGCTAGAATGAGATGGGAAGTTCTTGTGGGGGTTTTGAGCAGATGAGTAACATGATCTTATCTGCATTTTAAAAGCACTCTGGTTGCTACCTTGAGAATAGATTGTAGAGGGTCATGGACAGCCACAGGAAGAAAAGTTAGGAAGATTTTGCAATAATTGAAATAAGAGATGATGGTGGCTTGAAACAGTATACTAATACAGGAGATTGTGAGAAATGGTCAGAGTTTAGATGCAGTTTGAAGGTGGAATGGATGAGATTTGCTAGCAGATTAGATGTGGGATGAAGGAGAAAGAAAGGAGTCAAGGATTTTTCCACGACTTTTGTCCTGGACAACGAGAAGGATGTTGTCGTTTTACCAAAATGGGGAAGCCTGTAGGATGACCAAATGTAAGGTGGGGAGAAAATCGAGAGTCTGCTTTTTAATGTACTAAATTTGAGATGTTTGTTACATATCCAGGGGTTGTAGAAGGTGTTTGGAGTGTAGAGTCCAAGACAGATACACATTGGAGATTTAAGCTGGGAGCCTTTGTCATGTGGCTGCTATTTAAAGCCATGAGACCAGATGAGCTCACCCAGGGAGTGAGTGTACACAAGGGAGGGAAGAGGTCTAAAGACCAAGCCCTGAGGCACTCCCAACATTTGGAGGCTGAGGAAATGAGAAATTAACAAAGGAGACAGTGATAGAATAACTAGGGAGGTGGTGGAGTCAGGAGAGTGCAGTGTCTTAGAAGCCAAGTGAAAATGTTTCTAGAAGGAGTCGTCAGCTGCGAAATGTTGACAGGTCCAGTAAGATAAGGGCTGAAAATTGGTTATTGAATTTAGCGATATGAAGATGGCTAATGACCTTTTGAGGGGAGGGATGAGAGTGAGAGCCTTATTGGAATGGATTTTAAAAAAATGTTCAGAGTGGAATTAGAGTCAGTAAGTAGAGACAGTTCTTTCAAGGTTCTGTGCCAGGCCCCCGGGCTGCTACAGCAGAGTTAAAAGAGAACATAAGACAATCTGTCCCCTCCCAGAGCACAGTCAGTCTGTAGGGGAGGCAGTTGAGTAACCAGCAATTATAGTTCTGCCCCAGAAATACAAGATGCTCAAGGCTTTCTCCTTCTTTAAAAATGAATTCTTTTTTTTTAAAACGAATTCTTAAGCTTACTCTCAGGTTGAAAATGGGATGATTAAGTTCAAAATGGAAAATGATTTCTGCCCACTTTTCCCACTTAGTGACCACTTTGCTCCCTGTTCTTAGTTCTGTTTCCTTGAAACAGTGGGCGGGGGCCGGGGGGGAGACCAGGGCTGGGACTAGGGTAACTCAAGGAAGCCCTTAGTATACAAAATGTAAGTTAAAGGTCAGCTCTTGCATAAACCCGAGCGTGAGCGCCTCCTTAATTTTGTATTCTAGGCCCTTAATTTCTCTTACCCTAGTCCTGGCCCTGAAGAGAAATCAGATCCCAAAGTACCTTAGAATCTATTAACCCCAAATATTCTGTATGATAAGGGAGAGGACTATGCACCTCTGCTTATTTTTCAGTTGTCCCAATTATATTGTATGGGCTTTTGATGTTACCATGTTGATAAACATGAGCTGAGCAAAAAATGTTCTTTTTTTTTTGAGATGAAATTCGTAGAATGTACAATTAACCATATGAAAGTATACAATTCAGTGGCATTTAGTGTATTCATGTTGTACAACCACCACTTCTCTCTAGTTTCAAAACTTTTTCATCACCTCTGAAAACACCTGAACCCATTAAATAATCACTCTTCATTCCACCTATCACCCCCAAGAAATGTCCAGTCTGCTTTCTGTCTCTACAGAGTTGTCTATTCTGGATGTATCATAAAAAAGGAATTATACAATATGTGACCTTTCGTTTCTGGCTTATTTCACTTGTAAGAATGTTTTCAAGGTCCATCCATTTTGTAGCATGTGTCAGTACTTCATTCCTTTTTATGGCCAAGTAATATTCCATTATATGTATATACCACAATTTGTTTGTCTGTTCAACCATTGACGGACATTTGGGTGTTTTCCACCTTTTGGATATTACAAATCATGCTGCTTTAAACATTCTTGAACAAGTCTCTGTAGGAATGTATGTTTCCATTTCTCTTCGGTATATATCTAGAAGTGAGATTCCTGGGTCATATGGTCATTGTGGCATTCAACTTTTTGAGGAACCATCAAACTGTTTTCATAGTGGCTGTATCATATTGCATTTCCACCAGCAATGTAAAGGTTCCTATTTCTCCATATTTTTACCAATACTTGTTATTTTCCAATTTTTAAATAAATTTTTTAAAAAATTAAAGCCATCCTAGTAGGTGTGCAGTGGTGTCTCATTGTGATTTTGATTTGCATTTCCTTAATGACCAATATTGTTGAACATACATTCATGTGCTTATTGGTTATTTGCATATCTTCTTTGGAGAGATGTCCGTTCAAGTCCTTTCCCCATTTTTTAATTAGGTTATCTTCTTGTTGAGTTGTAAGAATTCTTTTTATGTTTTGGATATTATCAGATATATAAAATCTGCAATTTTTTGGCAAATATTTGCTCTTATTCTATATGTTGTCTTTTCTATTTTTGATGGTACCTTTTGAAGCACAAGCTTTTTAAAAAAATAAATGATATTTTGCTTTATGAGTTTCCTTGATTGTCTGTTGTCTAGGAGACAGCTGTTGTAATCCCTTAAGCATGGGTGCTATTAAAAAAATGGTTGAGAAGAAAATACCTGGAATTTACGTTCTATCTTTAGAGATTGGGAAGACCCTGATAGAGGTAAGGCCCTTCATGGCTCTGTTCCTGTGAAGGTTTGCTGACGGATTTCATGGAATGTACTCTTAAAATGCTTTACCTTGTATTTTTAGCAGCAAGTCATACACTGATACTTTAGTTTTTGAGTGGCTTGTGTGAGAGTACCAACCTAAACAAATGTGCCTCTTAGAGAAGGTGCCAGTGGTGTTTTCAGCCCCATCCTTTCACTTCTCTTTGGCCCATCTTTTAGGATGTGGAGAACAGCTTCTTCTTGAATGTCAACTCCCAAGTAAAGACAGTGTGTCAGATTCTTGCTAAGGATCCTAAATTGCAACAAGGCTACAATGCTATGGGATTCTCCCAGGGAGGCCAATTTCTGTAAGTCTCCTTCTGTTATATCACACCACTTACATGGAACTGATTTTTTGCCTTCAATTCAGATAAATATGCTCCTCCAATTCTTTTGGAATCTCCATCTCTCTTGAATGGAAAACTATTCTAAAATATTCCCATAGAAGAAGCTCTGTGGAGCTTAATTTATCCTCTATGAAGGAATAAAGATTTATGTTTGGCCGTATCAGAGGAAAATCCTGAAACTTTGTGGCTGTGGGGCACCACAGAGGATTAAGTAGCTTCCTCTGGGCAGTTGATTGTTGATACATTTCCATCTGACAGAACGGATAATCCTTATTTTTTCCCCAGGAGGGCAGTGGCTCAGAGATGCCCATCACCTCCCATGATCAACCTCATCTCCATTGGGGGACAACATCAAGGTAACTTTGGCCCTCTTTGCCAAAAAAAATTCTAGCGGTTCTATTTGTACAAGAAGTCAGCCAACCTTGCAAAAATCCTATTTTTCTAGTTTATTAAAAACTAGCCAGCAATGATGAAGAAATAGGATTCCAGAGGCCTAGAACACAAGTAAATTGTTAGGTTAGCATCTCCTTCTCTCCAGTCTAATTGACATGATTTTCTGAAGGTGAGATGGTTGCAGCCACGTAGCAGGTGGTGGTTGAGGAGCTAGGAAAGTCCAACAACCTTTCCTGTCTTCTAACATGGGTGCGGTCCTATTGGCTTTAGACTTAGGCAGAGAATACTGTCTAGGCCTTTTTTGTCTGTAAGTTTGACAGACAAGGTTAAATCCTTCAAAAAACAACAAGTTTGCTATTTAGACAGAATTACATACTTTGTGGGGGAAGATGTGTCTTTGGAATAGAACTTTATCTCTGTTCTGATGGATGTAGCTGTTACTGGTATAGTGTAGGTGCAGAAAGCTTCTCCTTATAACCTGGAAACTGGATTCAGCCAACTAACTGTTCCTGATGGGCAAGTAATTTGGTATCATAGGCCCCTTTCACAGATAAAGGAAACTAAGACCCTGCTTACCTTGTGGGAAATTTTCAGGGGATGCAATAAAATAATAGGAAGGAAAATGCTTTTTTAAAGTACATGTGAAAAAAAAACAAAGAAAAAAGTACATGTAGTATTCAGATGCAAGCTGGTAAAAACAGCTTATTCATTCATTGATTCAACAAATATTTATTGAAAACCTAGAAACAAGACAAAGTTTCTGCCTTCGTGAAACTTCCATTCTAAATTGGGGGAGAATAAACATAAAACAAGTAAACAAACAAAATAAATACAGATAGTGATAAATATGATAAAGAAAAATAGGATAATACTTGAGGGAAGAATAGTGGTTGTATTGGTGAAAGGTGTAGACTCTGGAGCCAAGCTACCCTTTTCATATCCTGGCTCCATCACTTACTAACCTTGAACAAGGCATCTAACCTCTCTGTTTGAAAATTTCCTATCTGTAATATGGTACAAATAATGATTTCTACTCCACGGGGTGGTTGTGAGGATTAAATTAATTATTGCCAATACGTGCTTAGAACTGGCATGCCTGGTACCCCAAAAATGTTATTGATGAGGAAGATGAGGATGGAGGTATAACTGGGGGACGAGGGGGAAATGGGATTGGACACTGCTTGAGTTAGGGTATCCAGATATGACTTCTCTAAGATCCAAGAGATGAGAATGAGGCCAGTCATTGAAGCAGTAAGAGAGGGAAGTACATTCTCCAGGGAGGAGAAGGTGCAAAGGTCCTGAGGCAGAAAAGAGTGTGAGAGCACCAGGAAGAAGCTAGTTATAGTATTAATTCTCAATACATTCTTTTCTTGAGGAATAAATGAGTAAGGTCAGGGTCCAGCTCTGGTTTTTGTTTCTCACAATGCCCTGCACACAGTAGGTATTTAGTACATGATTACTGAAGGCGTGGATGTTTGTCTTCTACTACTGTAGGTGTTTTTGGACTCCCTCGATGCCCAGGAGAGAGCTCTCACATCTGTGACTTGATCAGAAAAACACTGAATGCTGGGGCTTACAACAAAGCTGTCCAAGAACGGTAGGTATGGTTAGCTGAAAAGGATACCGAACTGTCACTGCATGAAAATATCATGCTGACTTTCATGCTAACCATGATTCTAGGCTTAGTTGCTAGTGATATTCAAACGAAATAGGGTTTTTTTGTAAATATCTCTATACTATCTGCTTCATTTTATGGTAAGCCTAAAACTGCTCTAATATTAATTTAAAGAAAGGGAGGCCATTTTTCTATATAAGAAGAATATAATTGCACCAATAAATTTTCATCTTTAAAAAACAAACAAAAAAGCCTTTAGAAAATACTAGGCCTAAGGAATTATTGTTAATATTTGAAGGACAGATTTTTCTTTTTAAAGATCATTGTTTTATTTTATTTTTCTTAATGGAGGTGCTGGGGATTGAACCCAGGACCTTGTGCATGCTAAGCATGGACCCTACCACTAAGCTATAGCTCCCCACCAGGACAGATTCTTTATGTTGTTAGTATCGAGGGGTTAGTCTCCTACATCAGTGTCGTCAACTCCTCAGATGTATTTGGGTGTTTAAAAATACATAGAATCACTTTCAGAGTGTGTTCTCCTTAAGTTGTTTCCAAATTTTTAAACATCAGACTCCCTGGGGAATTGATTAAAAATAAATTTCAGGGCTCCATCCCTAGAAATTCAGATTCAGTAGGTCTACAGTATTCTGGGTGATGACTGAGATTTGAGATCAACTCATATGATTGTGGCATCTATCCTACGGGTCTTCCAAGTGAATGATTCTTGTCTGATAGCAGCTCTTCAATACAACACTTCCCTGAAGCCCTGTCCAATGTACAGCCTTGTGGATGACTGGCCTATAGAAGCTACCTGCAGCCAGCTCTTTTCCTTTCCTACCCATTGGCTGTGTGCATAGTAACAAAGCTGTCTTGGGTCAACAGCGCCCCTGATGGTCAGTGAGGGAAACTAAGAGACTGTCTCTCCACCTCCTTTCCTCAGGCAGCTCCAACCACTGCTAAGCTTACCTCTTCCCTGGTTTGACTAGTCACGGTTGGGTTATTTATGTCCTGCCTTTTTTTTTAAGTGAGTGCAGAGGCACAGTCAGCTGTGGGGGTGGGGACAGCGACTTCTAAGTCCTGGTTAAAAGTGGTACTTGAATGGGTTTAAATCTTCTCTTTCTCTTTAACCTTTAATAAACTGGTAGTAAAAGGACAAAGAGTGATGAGCCACAGAGCAAAGAGAACAGGAGAGGAGAAAAGAAATAGAAGACGTCAACATGTCTTTTTTCAGAGGCAGAAAGCAGGTGAATGAATGAGTGATCACTATTTTAGCCGAGCAGAAAAAGCTGAAACATTTCTGTCTGTGGAGGGATACACAGACAAGAAGGGACCAGCTTCACTTTTTGTAATTCCAGAAAGATTTGGGAAATATACGCACAAGATACTTTGGAAGGTAGAGTATGCGCGTGGGACTAAAAGCAGGACTTTTTGTTGAAAATCTATATAAACGATGATCAGACTCCCTGATTCCCTTCAATTGCACATCCAAATGACTGATTCTCTCCCACCCTGAAAAGAGAAGCCAAATTTATCTTCTGGAGCCATTTAACTAGAGAAGTACCAGGCTTCGAGAATACAAGCACCAGATGGTGGTAAATGCCTTATTGAAAACCCATCCCCACCCATCTAGCCCTCAGAATGGTAGCAGCCAGGCTCATTACCTACTCAGCAGAAGTTTGATGGATCCCTCCCTGAGAAAACACTGGCCTCAGAGAAAAGCCCTTCAAGGTGATGGTTTGGAATCCTCCAGCAAATCTGGACGACTTCTGACTACCGTGTAGTGAACCCACCGTAGATAAGCTCTGTTCTTGTGCAGAGAGCTTTCGGTCAGCTCTGTAGTACCTTGTAGCCAAGGACCCCTTGTCAGACATCAGGAAAGCTTCCAACATGAAAGACAGACCAAAGCAAACAAAAAGTAAAAAGGAACGTGAAAAAGACAGATGGCAATTCAAGATGCTGAAGAAAACCTAAAAAGAAAACCAAACAAACAAAAAAACAAATAAACCTGTGTTACTATCTTCAGAGACAAGAGGTCATCCATGACACTAGAAAAGAATACAGATGAAACTAGCAATTAGAGAGAGTAAGAGAAAGCTCCTGGAAATTAAAAGTATAACCAAAATTTAAAAAATGTGTTAGAGGTATGGGAATATAAGGTTGAGGAAATCTGGAATTTAAAACAAAACTCAGTGAGGTAGAAAAAAACAGGAAACATACTCTCATGAGGTGACATCCTAGGGGAGGAAAGGGGTCTCCAAGTGAACAGGTGCACTAGATAACCTCTAACGGTGCAAAGGCCATGGCCGAAATAAACAGGATGCAGTGATGGAGAGTAATGAAGGAGGTACCTAATTTGGACAGAATGGTCTTTGAAGAAGAGATATTTAAGCTGGGATCTGAAGGATAATAAAGGAGCAGAGGAGATGCTAAGAAAAGAGGGATCAGGCAGAGGGACCTTGAGCTGGGGACAAGTTTATCTCATTCTAGACCAGGTGACTAGAGTTTAGTGGTAGACGGGAGACTTGAACAGGGAAGCAAGGGCTACATCATGCAAGGACCCATAGGCTGCAAAGGAGTTTAGATTTTCTTCTGAACGTCATGGGAAGCTATTGGGAGGTTTTAAACAAGGGAATAACATGGCCCGATTGATGTTTTTGGAAGATCTCCCCTTTGTGGAGAGTGGATTGTCAAGGAGGTAGGGGAGAAGCAGGCAGACCACTTAGGGGGCTGTTGCCAAGGCCTAGATAAAAGGTGATGGTAGCTTGGACACCAGGGTGGCCACAGTGGATGGAGGGAAGTGAGAGTACTTGAGATATGTTCCCTAACATTGTAGCTGAACTGGACTTGTCAGCCAGCCTACAGCTCACCATTTATAACAGTTTTCCTGGGAAATGCTTTCTGAGTTCTCAACAGCTCACTTACAGATTGCCTTTGAGGATCTTTTTCTAATTTAATACAGTTGTTTGCTTTTTCTTTTTAAAGTTTCTTGATACAGGTAAACTTTCCTTTTAACAGATGGCCAGTATGAGACTGAAAGAGGCAAATAGTCTTAAGTAGAGGGCTGTAGAGGGAGATGGTAAGAGCTGAAAGTGACAAAAGGAAATAGTTTTCTCTGTAGAATTGTCCTCGGTTGCCCTCTGCATCAGGGAAGATTCTGCTTGCAAGAGAGAAACCAGATCACAGAACAGGACAGCATGTGCCACCATGGTCTGGAGGCATGATTAGAGTGAGAAAGCTCAGTGCCATAGGGAAGCCAATATTAATGAGGCCCCTTCCTAAATCTTTAGGACTTCCTGGACTGTGCTAAATAAATAGCACATGTGTGCCTCGGGTGTCTTGTTGATGAACTGTTTTGCAAGCAGAAGTCTTGTCTTTCCTATTAGAGGGTGAGGCCTGGGACTTGTAGACTCTGGTCTTAATGTCCTTTTGAAGTCTCTTCGTGGCCTGTGCTCAGGGGCAGGCCCCGGACGTGCTGACCAACGTGCATCTTGCTCACCTTCGTTTCTTTTCCTCCCGTAGCCTGGTGCAAGCAGAATACTGGCATGACCCCATAAAGGAGGACGTATACCGCAACCACAGCATCTTCTTGGCAGATATTAACCAAGAGAGAGTAAGCACCCAACCCAGGCCACCATAGTTGTGCATTCTTTCTTTTTTTTTTTTTAATTGGGGGCATTGTAAGTAGATTGGCAATGACTGCTTACCCAAAATATCCCAGACAGAAGCCAGGAAACAAGAAGTTCTGTTTTGGGGGGAGGTGGTGCTTATGAGATTCAGTTCCTCTTAAGAAGGCTGAAATTCACTTGGCTTTCTTCCCTTGGGTTCTTTCCCTTTGCTAGTGTTGAAGTAGCAAGATGAGTCAGTAGGTTGCTGGCTGGTGTACGTGTAACTTCACAGCTGCTGTCTTACCAAGGGGAGCCTTCCTAGTGGATCCCTTTGGGGTCATATTTTCTCAGAAGAGTGATTTGCTTACGAGAGAGACTGCAGAAGGGACTGAGTGTGCCCCAAGTTTGGGAGATTCTGGTTTGGGAGATTCTGGTAAACTAGATGGCTCGGTTTATAGTGGGCTTATCTGGAAGTTTTAAAAAAACAGTGAAATTTGAAGTAGGGAGTGGTGGGAGCAGGATAGTATAGCTGAACCACTCAGAATTTGCAGTCTCTTATTTTGCCTTGGCTTTTTCTGGCTAGAAGCCTTTAAGCTACATAATTGAGTCCTATGGAGTGCAGTGACAGATGCACAGTGGCACCTGTATGCTGTGGTTGAACCTGATGGCAATATCCCTCAGGTACTTACTGCTGGCCCTTCCTCCAGGGTGTCAATGAGTCCTACAAGAAAAACCTGATGGCCCTGAAAAAGTTTGTGATGGTGAAATTCCTCAATGATTCCATTGTGGACCCTGTGGATTCTGAGGTGAGACACTGCTAAGGCCATAATGCCAGGAGCCCATCAGAGTGAATAGCATTAAAGTCCAGAGTAATTGCCCATTGGGGAAGACCTTCAGTCCCTTCCACCAGTCTTTGTGGAGAGCAGGGGTTCTTTCTGGAGGTCTGTAAATAGAACTGAGGAGGGTTATAACCCCCCTACTGCCCAAAATTGTATGTAAAGTTGTGTACAGTTGACCCTTGAACAACATGGGGGTTAAGGGCACCGACCCTTTGCACAGTCAGAAATCCGTATATAATTATGGTAAGCCCTCAGCATCCACGGTATTGAAAAAACCCGGATAGAGGTTGACTCGAGTAGTTCAAACCTGTGTCATTTAAGGGTCAATTGTAGTTGTATTCTCAGAGGGAGAGTCTATAATTTTTATCAGATTTTTAGAGATCTGTGATCCAAAAAAGATTCAGAACCACCAGCCCAAAGTCTAAATCTCTGGGGTTCACATTCAAGGGCTGCCTTGACCTGGCTTCGATTTGTCTTTCCAGCCTAATCTTGCTTCACAACCACTCAGTATCCTCTCTGATCCAGCCGTATTGTTCTACTGATGTGCCCCAGACTTGCCATGTGCTTTTTCTTTCGTGTGTTTTTGTTCATGCTTTTCAGTCTCCAGAATGCCCTTCCTTGGGCTCCTCCACCTGACAAGCTGTGTTCAGCTGTCAAGGCCAAATCCAGATGTTACTTCCTCCATCCAGGAGACCATCCCTCTTCCAAGCAGAATTTGTTCCCCCTTTTAAAGACTCATCAGCCTCTGTTATATCAGCACTTATCACACTGGGTCAGACCACCAGGGACTAGCAAACTACAGCCTGTGGGCTAAATCCAGCCTGCTACTTGCTTTTGTGTGGCCCACAAACTAAAAATGGTTTTCGCATTTTTAAATGGTAGAAAAAAATCAGAATATTTGATGATGTGAAAATTTGAAATTCAAATTTCAGTGTCTATAAATAAAGTTTCATTAGAATGCAGCCATATTCATTTTTTAAAATATTGTCTATGGTTGCTTTTGCATTACAATAGCAGCATTGAGTAGTTGCAACCACGTGGTCCTTAAAGCCTGAAATATTTTGTATCTGGTCTTTATAGAAAAGTCTGCTGACCTCCACACTAAACAATTAGTTGTTTCTGTGCATCAGACTAGAGCTTCTTGAAAACAGGGACTGTATACATATTCATCTTTTAATGTCTAGAGTTCAGCATAAGGCTTTTCATGGGGCAGGTGCTCAGTAATTGTAGGAAGCAGCGATTCTGGAAAATTGGAAAGTTCTTTGGATAGATCAACTCACCCTTAAAAAGAGAGGGCTTAAGACATGCTTTATTTCCCCTACTTGCTGCAGCTTTAGAATCTTCAGCGGGTTGGTAGTCTTAGCTACTAGCCAGTCTTAAATTAGTTTGGCAGTGTGTGCATGTGTCTGATCTGACCTCATTTCTCCCTCTCTCCAGTGGTTTGGATTTTACAGAAGTGGCCAAGCCAAGGAAACCATTCCCTTACAGGAGAGCACCTTGTACACACAGGTAACTGGGGAGGAGAGAGGCACAGCCCTTTTCAGTACCTGGCTCCTGAAGCTGCTAGGCGCTTTGGTGATGGACCTTGTCCCGTACATCCCCGCCCAGCAGGTGCTCATGAGGCTGCTGATTCATGTCTGATCTGAGCAAGGCTTGTTAGGCTGATTGTTGCACTACCGCAGTCTACTTCCTGAAGATTGAAGGACCTGTACCTCATGGTTTTCAAGCAGATAAAAGAGACACATCTGTAACTCCGTCCTTCTGATAACAAGGTTTAGAACTGGCTTCCTTTGCTGAGGTACCCTCTGCTACAAATCCAGGAAGCCCCCAAGCATGACAAAAACAGAGGAGAGGGCTGTTACCTTGAAACATTCACAGATGCGGAAGCCCTGTTTGTAAATCAGGCATTGACATGGGGAGCTCCTCCTGCAGGAGGCTGAGAGCAATGGAGTGTGAACTTTGTTCAGCAGTAGGTCCTGTTCCTCACCACTGCCGGTTCTGGGACCTTCCACACTCTGAGGGTTTTATATTGGAGATACTCTCCCCTGAATGCACAAGTGCTACATCTCAGCCACTCTCCTTCTACTAGAATTCCTTTAAGTAATTTCGCATGCCAGCTGTCTCCTCGGTTTTTCTTCTGCACCTGGCACCCCAACTTAGGTGACGTGAAAGGAAAGGGAAGCTGGGGTCTGTAAAGAGTTTTGGAAATTACAACTAGGAACTTATCATGAAGCTCAAATTGATGGTAGCTATAGCAGAAGCAATGTTCTGGCACCATCCTAACCGCTTATCTTCCCAGCCACCCTTGTTCTGTGGCATCCTGGCTGTGGGCAGACTATGAACATGTCTGAGTTTTGTTATCCAAGTGTTGGATATGTTTTAAGTTATCTGGCTAATGTTCTCCTATCTTTGGCTCAGTCCCACTTAACTTGACATTTTGAGGCAGTTGTCCGTGTGGTCCTCCAGAAGCCTTGGGAAACTTCAGAAAGCAGAATATGAAACTCTGTATACAATGATCTCAATTGCTCATTTTTAATGCTTAAGAAAAAAAACTGGAGGGAAGTATCCTTTTTGGCATTTTCAACAATACACCTACATTTTAATACTCTGGGAAAGGATTGCATTTTGAGAATATATCTCAAGTTGACAGTATATTTCTTTACTGTTTTACTATAAAACTTTTCATTAAGCCTCTGGATTATGGCCTGTCTCTCTGCAGGACCGCCTGGGACTAAAGGAAATGGACAATGCAGGACAACTGGTGTTCCTAGCTGTGGAAGGGGACCACCTTCAACTGTCTGAAGAATGGTTTTATACCCACATCATACCCTTCCTTGAGTGAAACCCTGGCAGTTTGCACCAGAGCTCAGGGAACCCCTCACACTTCCAAACCAGTTCCCTACACGCCCACGCCTGAGCTCAGATCCAGCTTGCAACTAATCCTCTCTAGTCATCCTCTAACACACCGTGCCCGGAAAGATCTAAGATATGAATCTTATCGTTTGCCTCATCCTATCAGCATATGGTGTTAAATGCAAGTTTAATTAGCTAATAACCATGGAGATTGTTTTACCACACTCTGATGTGGTCAGACCGTTTTCAGGAATCGGGAGTTTGCCGCAGGTCAGTGGCAGAAATGTGCCCAGGCCCAGAAAAGATGGAGCAAGCTAAATCAATGAGATAGACTCTAAGACAGATGCC